AGCCACAGTGACCATTTGTGGAGTGTTTACTCAAAATCAGATTGTATGCTAAGCTTACTTGAGCTGTTACTGCAAATGACTCTCTTATAATAGTTTTATTATTATAATACCCACTTAAAAGATGAGGAACCAGTGCCAAGAGTTGCAAAATAATTAGTCCAAATATTAAATACTGATAAGAAAAGAGGCCAAGCTGGGAATTGAAGAAGGATTATCTAAATTCTTATTCTGTATGTGTTTTTTTTAATCAATCTATTACTCCTATTATTCTCTGTTACTATATTACATGGAACTGCTAGAGAAATTGTGGAATTTTTTTTCTAATACTGGCACAGCATACCCAGCAATCATTAATGGAATAATAAATGAATATTTTGTATTTTCACTTTTCAACAGATACATTTTATCTGTTTATATTTTCACTTTTTCAGCAGATACATTTTATCTGCTGAAAAAGTGAAAATATAAAATATTTATTGGTTAACTACTATGTACAACATTTGCATTTAGGCATAGCTTATTAAGTGTAGGTGATATAAAGTTGATTTAGAGACATTCCTCTTCTCCAGGGAAGGACTAAACAGTTTTATTTTTTTGGCCAGTTCTTTTTTTTTTTTTTTTTTTTTTTTTTTTGAGACGGAGTTTCGCTCTTGTTGCCCAGGCTGGAGTGCAATGGCGCAATCTCGGCTCACCGCAACCTCCGCCTCCTGGGTTCAGGCAATTCTCCTGCCTCAGCCTCCTGAGTAGCTGGGATTACAGGCACACGCCACCATGCCCAGCTAATTTTTAGTATTTTTAGTAGAGACGGGGTTTCACCATGTTGACCAGGATGGTCTCGATCTCTCGACCTCGTGATCCACCCGCCTCGGCCTCCCAAAGTGCCGGGATTACAGGCTTGAGCCACCGTGCCCGGCTGACCAGTTCTTTTGATTGTATTTTTTTGATGTCTCCCTGGATTATTATACATCTTGATTATTAAGAGAGCCTTATGGATAACCTACTCATTAGTGCTTCTCTACATTATTGGGTTGAGTCTCTGAATTTCCAATGGGGTCCTTCCCCCCCTTCAACATGCTGGTTAAGGGGCAAGTATTTAAACAGCAAGAAACTTCTGAATATTACTAACGCAGGTGCCTGTGAACCTAACTGGAATTTACTTCAAACCTTAAAGGATACCCGCAACCTGCTTTCTTTTCTTTTCTTTTCTTTTCTTTTTTTTTTTAAAGAGACGGAGTTTCACTCTGTTGCCCAGGAGTGCAGTGGCACAATCTTGTCTCACTGCTGCTTCTGCCTCCCAGATTCAAGAGATTCTTGTGCCTCAGCCTCCCGAGTACCTGAGATTACAGACGTGTGCTACCACACCCGGCTAATTTTTGGATTTTTATTAGAGACAAGGTTTTATTGTTACTCAGGCTGGTCCCAAACTCCTGACCTCAGGTGATCTGTGTGCCTCAGCCTCCCAAAGTGTTAGGATTACAGGTATGAGCCACGGTGCCCAGCCAACCTGTTTTCTAAGTTTAAGTTAAGCTGGTTAAGAACTTTACGTAAAGTACAGAAAAACAAGGCAGATGTGAGATTGAAGTCTCTTTAGTAACTTTTTCTGGCAACCTACGTGTTTCCAGTCAAGAGAAACTAAAAATCTTATGATAGGAGAGCTTGTAGAAGTTCTTCCTTTAGTCTGGTTTCTTTTAACTTCTGAATTCTATGGTTAAACTAACTCAGTGAGTGTGACAGGTTTCTTTGTCACACTCAGCGAATTGGCAGCTGTTTTGTTAAGTGCTATAGTTATAAATGGTTTGTAATTATCACTTGCATAAGTCTATTTTTAATCTTACAACACATCTGTGATGGAGAAATAGGTAACTGTTACTATGTGCATCATGGCCAGAGCTGTCCAGGCCAGTTTTAGTATTTTCCTGGGCATGTCTAGTACAGACCTAAAGGAGTCAAAATTTAAAGACAGGAATTGTAATGCCTCCTAATTCTCAGTTTTCACGGGATGTAGAAATAATTATTTTTGTATTCATGTAGTTAATGGTTTTGAATGATTATTACATGTTGAGTCAGATGTAAATCTGTCTGTCTAAGTGGCTACTAAATAGTAACTTTGGAGTTACATCATCTATTTATCCATGTATGTACATTCAACTATATGTCCTTGGGGGAGAGCGCTTCAACCAGGGTGGACGATTTTCATTTAATTGGAATGAGCAGATATCCTTGAGTGACATTAGAAGGGAGACATGAATCTGGTACTTTCTATATTGGTCTCCATTTCTGTTTGTGCTTTGTTAGGAGTAGCTGGTCCCTGAATTAAAGGAACTTATTTCAGCTGGGACTTACTAGAAGTACCAGCTATTTTTTCCAATGCTGGACAAAAATCTTAATGTTTTAGATCAGATATAATTTTCAGTATACCACTCTGAAATCTGTCACTTGACAGTTATTTAGAGACCATTTTAGTTTTATTGAGATGACTAGAAAAGTTTACATGATGTTTTCCTGGAGTTTATTTCTCTTGACTGTTTTTATTTAAAATCAGATGCCGTCTTTTTCATTACATAAAGGATTTGGCCAGATGGCTTGTTTTTGGTTATTTGATGTTAGTGTAGGTAGTTTCCCCCTTTTGAAGGAAAGTAAAATGTTTATTAAAACCTTGTAATTTTCCTCTAAAGTCAATAGATGATTTATGAACCAGCTTTACTTTCCTTGAACTCACAAAGCAAGAGTTAGCCTGATTGCAAATAAGCAGTCTCAGAATGACCACAAGTGTCAGTGTTTGCCTGCCTTATTTTTCTCCTTCGGTTTTCATCAGGTTTTGCTGCAGATACGCATGTCGTTTAAGAATTTCTTTTGACTTGAAAACAAAGCTAAATTTAAGTGTCTCTTTCAGAACTAGTTATAGACACCTTTATCTGTTTTGATTCATGCAAACTATTAACAATGAGCATTTGAAATCAGCAGCGATTTGACATATTGTTTATTATGCTTGTGTATTCCTTGATTTTTCTGTAGCACAGCTGTTTCAGTCAGGAATAATACTCTTAGAGCTGTGGTTCTCAAGGGGGCAGTGCTAAGGGTAGCGCTGGTTTCTAAGAGGTGTTCTAGAAGTTTGTGAGGGTGTTTACAGTTAACAGGATGATTTTTAAGGGCATTTCAGGACCAGGGGAGGTAGTAATCCAGTGGTGTGTGGGACAGTCTTTGTAAACAACAAAGGCCAGCTCAGTGTTCAGCAGGACTTCTGAGTGAGTGAGTGGTTGGGTATATGTGTAGGTGAAACACTTTTTTATAATTAAGTAAATTTAAAACATAATTGGAACATAAAGTATATTTTGTTCAGTTTTAACATGTACTGGATTTTCTAGACATGTAACTACAGTGTACAATGAGGGAAGCTTGTACTTTGCTTTGTTTTGAACATTCCAATGGTTCACCATTTCAAAAAATCAAAATTATGTTCTTGGCATTTGAGTTACCAATATAATATACCAGTCTGTGGGCATTTGTAATTGTTACATTCAGTATGACTTCATGTATAGGAATAGCATCTGGTTAGTATGTCTTCTGGTATAATCGTGTCTGAGACTTACATACTGAAATGCATATTTGTATCATAAGTCCCTTTCCCTTCGTCTTCTGCCTCCTCCTCCTCTTCTTTCTTCTTCATTCTTCTGCCTCCTCCTCCGCCTCCTCCTCCTCCACCTCCTTCTTTCTTCTTCTTCTTCTTTTTTTTTTTTTTTTTTTTTGAGACGGAGTTTCGCCCTTGTTACCCAGGCTGGAGTGCAATGGCGCGATCTCGGCTCACCGCAACCTCCGCCTCCTGGGTTCAGGCAATTCTCCTGCCTCAGCCTCCTGAGTAGCTGGGATTACAGGCACGCGCCACCATGCCCAGCTAATTTTTTGTATTTTTTTTTTTTAGTAGAGACGGGGTTTCACCATGTTGACCAGGATGGTCTCGATCTCTCGACCTCGTGATCCACCCGCCTTGGCCTCCCAAAGTGCTGGGATTACAGGCTTGAGCCACCGCGCCCGGCCCGGCATCTATTCTTGAGTATATAATTGATATACTTCAACACTTTGCATATTTCCTTGTATATCTTACATCTTCAATAATTAAATGAGGTTTGTTATTTAGTTTTTAAGATACTGTCATCTGCTCTTAATTCAAATGTAACAGATCTCTTCTTTATAAATGTGATTTTTTCCCCGAATATTTCAAAGGCATTTAATTATTTGAAATGTGTATGTTTTTAAAAATAAATTCCAATATAACAAATTTTAGGTTTCTCCAACAGAACGGCATGTATCATTTATTTATTTTGAGATTGTTTAGAGGAAAAAAGATTGGCTTGATATTAGAACAGACAATGACATTTCTGAGAATATTAAATTGTCAGCAGTTAAGCAAATCATTTAAAAATATTACAAGCTTACAGTAACTGCTCTGTAGTGACTGAATTTATTTTACTCTAAAGATGTTTATTGTGTTCTCATTACTAATAGCATAAAAAATCAGGAGGCCGGGCGCGGTGGCTCAAACCTGTAATCCCAGCACTTTGGGAGGCCGAGGCGGGTGGATCACAAGGTCGAGAGATCGAGACCAACCTGGTCAACACGGTGAAACCCCGTCTCTACTAAAAATACAAAAAATTAGCTGGGCGTGGTGGCGCATGTCTGTAATCCCAGCTACTCAGGAGGCTGAGGCAGGAGAATTGCCTGAACCCAGGAGGCGGAGGTTGCGGTGAGCCGAGAGTGCGCCATTGCACTCCAGCCTGGGTAACAAGAGCGAAACTCCGTCTCAAAAAAAAAAAAAAAAAAAAATCAGGAGAGATTTAATATTTATTTTTTTCTTAAACTGTATGTCATAACATGTTCAATGGAGTAACTGATTGAGATAGAAAAAGAGACAGAGAGATACGAGATTTCTTTCCAATAATTAAAGTGTTTAACTATTATGTAAAGAAGCTTTGATCTCATTTATAATTCTTATTCTTTTACAGGAGGGTGCATCTGCCCGGAAGACTCAGACTCCTGCAGCGCAGCCCGTACCAAGACCAGGTAAAACTATAAAACTTTGGTTTTTGTTTTATTTCTAAAGATCATAATAGTGCAAGTTTTTTGGTATGTGTATAATGCTTTGAATAAATTGAAATTTTACTTATAATGCATTGCAAGGTCACATTTCTTTAGAGACTTGTTTCTGCTTAAGCAGATCTCAAAACTGTGATAATATAAATAAAATGCTTGCTAAACTTCAGTCAGCGTCATTAATACATCTTGATGTTCTTAGCAGGAAGACATAAAGGAATTACAGTGAAAAGCACACTAAATTATTCATTTTTGTATAGTGCATTAATTAAGCAGCTCAACTGGATTTTGTAACATTTTTTTACTGAAGTACTATTTTCCCCCATTTGATTCAAGGGTCATTGATAACATAGGTTTTAAGCATTGTTTTTGAATAATGAAGTTATACTATAGAACATTTACTTGAATAAATAGGTATAGTGAAGAGATAAAAAAAATTTTAAGGCCGGGCGCGGTGGCTCAAGCCTGTAATCCCAGCACTTTGGGAGGCCGAGGCGGGTGGATCACGAGGTCGAGAGATCGAGACCATCTTGGTCAACATGGTGAAACCCCATCTCTACTAAAAATACAAAAAATTAGCTGGGCATGGTGGCGTGTGCCTGTAATCCCAGCTACTCAGGAGGCTGAGGCAGGAGAATTGCCTGAACCCAGGAGGCGGAGGTTGCAGTGCGCCGAGATCGCGCCATTGCACTCCAGCCTGGGCAACAAGAGCGAAACTCCCTCTCATTAAAAAAAAAAAAAAAAAAAAAAAATCTAAGAAAATGTTTTTATTTTGGTTAAAATTTGAGAAAAATGTTTTTAAAACGTTTTTAAATGTTTAAAAGTTATTTATGTATATCCATCCTTTCACCAATTCTCTTGCAGTTCCATGGTATTATGTACACATGTGAATTTTTTTTCTACAGCAGCACAGAATTATAATTTTAATAGACTCATATTCAGCTTTGATGCTTAGAACTTCAGGTATCTGTGTTTAACATCCAAATTTCTGTATCATTTAAAAAAATGTGTTAAACAAAGGTAGTATTGAAGTTATTTTAGAAAAATTCTTCCCTCTATTCCTAGTACCTAAAAAGATTCCTCTTCACAGACAACAACACTATATTTATTTTCAGTCTTTTGAGTTTGTTTTTGATGTTTGATGTTTTATTTAGCATAATTTCAGTGTTGGGCTATACCACTTGTCTTTTTTTTTTTTTTTTTTTTGAGACGGAGTTTCGCTCTTGTTGCCCAGGCTGGAGTGCAATGGCGCGATCTCGGCTCACCGCAACCTCCGCCTCCTGGGTTCAGGCAATTCTCCTGCCTCAGCCTCCTGAGTAGCTGGGATTACAGGCACGCGCCACCATGCCCAGCTAATGTTTTGTATTTTTAGTAGAGACGGGGTTTCACCTTGTTGACCAGGCTGGTCTCGATCTCTCGACCTCGTGATCCACCCGCCTCGGCCTCCCAAAGTCCTGGGATTACAGGCTTGAGCCACCATGCCTGGCCTGTCTTTTTTTTTTTAAATAACCTCATCAGTACTGTTGAAAGTAAGTATGAAGAAGGAAAATAAAGGATTGGAAAGCACAGGCAGTAACGTAACTGGATCTTCTGCGTAAGTTTCGCAGTATCAATAGTGTAGATTTGGATATCCTCTTATTCAAAGTATGTTTATACACAGGCTAATTCTAAAATGATATAGATTATGAATATTAAATAATTTCTGGAGGCACTTCACAAGTACGGTACAGGATGGCTTATATTGGGATGGTTTTGCAGGGTAATTTCCCTGTGTCCTGGATTCATACTCCTCTTAGATGCAGCTAGTATTTCCTTTTCTTCTTTTTCTTTTATTTGACAGTAGGTTTGTTTGAAAATTTTGTCATTACTGTTTTTAAGTAGGAGTGGAGAAGAGGAGTGCAGTCAGCCTTGTTACAGTCAGACGAGATTGTATGTAACTGATTAGGGTGACAGGACTCTTTTTCAGTAGAGATGATGATACCAGAATCCATTGTGAGAGTGTGAGGAAGAACAATTAAATTCAACAAATATTATTTGAATTTCCATGTACTAGGCTCTTGTTCAGAAACTAAGAGAAGCTGAAGAAGCTTTTTGCAGGAAGGAAGAAAAAGGTGAAGGAAGTAGGGGTGGACAGATGGGGTTGGGTCCAAAGAATACTAACATGAAGTATAGGAATATTGTGGGGGCAGTTGAATCCCAGATAAGAGAATTGTTTGTTTTTCTTTGGAAGGCAGGGATGGCAGGTTATGGTTTGTCAGAAATGGTTTTATATAAAAGGAGAAAAGCCACCACCTGAGGATTCTAACTTAGAATCTATAATGTAAAATTTTTTCTATTTTACATTTTCGTAAAATAAGTTGGTATATAAAGATAGGGCAGGGAGGCACTGATATCCAAACAAAGCGTTTTGTTCAGATGTGTCTTGTGATAAAATGGAGTTAAAGGGATTGGATTCTGCTAGCCAATTACGTGACTAGGGGAAGATCATGTGTGTAAAGTAAGGAGTTCTAAGTCTTTTTCAGTTGCCCTGCTAAAGTGAACTGGGGATTAAACTGATGGAAATTTAATCTGAAGAAATGTCTCATCATATCTCAGATGCTCTAATGCTTTCACTTACTGCTTTACACCCATACATCCACATTTTCTACCCACCATTCTAAAATAATTAAGATTTTTACTTTCGTTCAGCATTAAGACTTGATTGGAATGGATAGCAGCAGTTTGAAGTCTTTATTTCTCCTAATTAGTGTATTTTTATTTTGCTGCCGAAATTTTAAATGTATCTGCTTATGGGGGTGCAGCTCCATTTTGAAGGGATATTGTTTAATATCTGACATGTTCACTAGTATTATTTCTTTAAAATTTGAAAAATATGTGTGCCCAAAATATGTATGGCCAGTGTAAAAAGGGGGATTATAGATGTATAACTGTTATTTATTGGGTAGAGTTTGGATAATTTTGAAATGCGGGAATGAACCGCCTATTCTCTCCTTGAGTGAGATACCTCAACGATGGAGTTCTGTTTTTGAGCATTTATAGATTTTTATTTCTCATTTCCTCAAATATTTATTTAGTGCTGTTGTGCTAGGCAAGTCTGGGTAAATTTAATGATTTAAAGTGTTTACAGTTAAACATTTTATACCTCTAAAGGTCTAAAAATTTCCACTTCTCAGAATTCATTTAGGGAATGTAACTAACAAGAGCCACGTGTTTTCCAGTGGATTCACAAATACAAGCATTTGAAAAGCCATAGTTTAGAATTAACTATCATTTCCTTTTTATAGCCATATTAAATTTCTTGTACATACCATTGTCTGTCTTCTCTCCTCTTTCTTAATGTATACACAATCCATACTTGACTAATTTATCGTTCTTTTGAGGTGAGTAGGTAGCCTGTGGTACTAGTTTACCTGCTTAACACCACTCATGGGAGATTGAGAGAGCGAACTAGCTTCTGTTTATTTTATACAAAGACGCTATTCAGTCACGTAATTTATAACCTAGCTATTGGTTGGAGTACTTCTCCTCTCATTCCACAGTTACGAATCTATGTGCTGACGATTTCCAAATTTATATCTCCAGTTCAGACCTCTGGTATCTTCTGTTAACTGTGTGTGTAACATTTGGATTGGCCATAGGCATTTAAAAACGAATTAAGGTAATTTTTTTCCCTGCTACTTTCCCCAAGGTCTCTTACTTTACACTCTTGGTGCTTTTTCATGGAGTGACACCAGCATCAACTTCGTATCTTAAATCAAAAACTTGGGAGTTACTCTTTATTCATCACATTTCCTTACTCCTTTTCTCATCTGTTAGTGGGTTCTGTCAGATGTACCTTTTCTGTATTCCAAATTTATCTATTTTCCTTTATCTCCACTACCACAACTCAAGTAGACACCATTATCCTCTCTCTAGACCAGTGGGTCTCAGTATGGTTGGCTGCCTGATGTCAGCCTGTGACCTCTTTATTTCTGGTGCCAAGAAAATAGATACAGAAATTAAGGGTAAAATAGTGTCGTAGCATCTAAGTACATAATCATCTTTCTAGAAATTCATTGTTATTATATTTTATTCAATTGGCTTTGAATTGGAATTTAAGACAAAAACTCATCTTAACCACGCATAGTTGGAGTAGCCCCTTTGTTGACTGTTGTAATAATCCTAATTGAACTTTCTGCTTTCACGCTTGTACCCTTTCCAATCCCTTGTCCAAATCCATTGTTTTTTTTTTTTTTTTTTCTTTCAGAAGTGTGACATGAAAATAAAGTCTTGTCACTTTCTGGCTTAATAGTTATAGGACTTTCCAGTGGCACTTAAATGCAAACTTAATATTGCTTAAAAGGCCCTACATGAATTGGTCTCTGCATGTATTTGTTACCTCATCTCCTGCCATTCTTCTTTTCTTCCCTGTGGTCCCCTCATTGGCCTTGTTTCAGTTCCCTAAGTGTGGCAGTTTCTTCCTGCCTATGGTATTTGCCTACATTCCTACCTCTTACCTGGACTGTTCGCCTACTTGTTCTTGGCAGGTTGGCTTGTTTTCATCTTTCAGATTTCGGCTTAAATGCCACCAGAAGCTTTTTGCATTCTATCCTTCTCACTCTTGGACTTTGAGGCCATTCGTAAGTCAAATAAGAGCTATTTGAAGTTAGCACTGTGATAACAGTGAGGGAGATGACTACTAAGTGAGTAAAGGGCAGGCAGTGTAGAGAGTGTGGATCTGCTAGGTAAAGAGAGGATTCACATGCTGGGTGGGGCAGTGTGAGATTTCATCATGCTACTCAGATGTGCAGTTCCAATCTTGTGAATTGTTTGTTTCTGGAATTTCCTATTTAATATTTTCAGACCACAGTGGAATGTGGTTAACTGAAACTGCAGAAAACAGAACTGTGGATATTGTATCTTCACTTTCTCCTTTTGACTACAGATTGTTGAATAATGCATTTTAATATTTTTGTGAAGCAGAATGTTACATGAAAAGATAGTAAGTTGTAAGATATGTCTTCTGATTTACAGTTAGTCATATGTGAATACAAATAATTTTTAAAATACCCCTTATTTGTAAGTTTGAAAATAGGAATATGGTTTTTATAATACACAGTGTGATTTCTTTTCTTCTTTACAGTTTCTCAAGCAAGACCACCCCCAAATCAGAAGAAAGGTGAGGTTGCGCATATGATTTTTAACTTAATTTTAAAAAGTGAATGGTGCAGCTGTGTCCTATATTTGTGTTTGGTATCCATTCTGATTAGTCAGTACTCAAGCCATACTGATTATTAAATATTTTTTAATGTCCACTGGCTTAAAGTATTTTTTAGATCAAAAGAGTTAAAATTCTAATTTATAAACTTTTAACTTTTAGTAGAGAAAGTAAGTGTAATTCCTAATAACATATTTTCTACCTGTAAAATTTTGTCTTTATAGGATCTCGAACACCCATTATTATAATTCCTGCAGCTACCACCTCTTTAATAACCATGCTTAATGCAAAAGACCTTCTACAGGACCTGAAGTAAGTAATTTATTAAACTGTCCTGTTCATAGGACATTGAGATATCATTGGCAAATAGTAGTTACTGAGTCAGTATTATTTGGAGAAAACAGTTTCAGTTTCTGTGCTATAGGCTTTACATGTAGTATGAAGCATAATTTTTCAAAACCGAATATATTCTTTTATATTTGGATCCTTTAGGGAAACTTACAGAAACTTCTGGCTAAAGTCCTAATGAAAACAGATACTATCATATTAACTTTTAATATGAATTGTTTTCTTTTGATGTTTTTCTCTGAGAGAGCTTGAGGAAATTCTAAAACAAATTCAGATTCTCTCTGAATATTAGATGTTATCCTAATTGGAAAAAGTAGGTGGGTGGGTGCATAGTTATTTAACCTAGATAGCAGTAAAAGTTAAAGAAGTGAAAATGAAACCTATACATGATGATACAATTTTCAAATGCTTAACTTTTCAAAATTTTTCATGTCTATTTCCCACCCCCCACCCCCCACCCCATTTTCATACTAAACTGAATACAGTCACACTTGTACCCAGTTTGTCCTGATAAACATGCATCATGGTTATTGGGCACAAAATAAATCTCTTCCTCCCCAGTCACTTTCAGATTTAAAATTTAAGTAGTTTATATATATTTTCCCATAGCATTTCTTCTATTAAAGAATATGAGTAGGCCGGGCGCGGTGGCTCAAGCCTGTAATCCCAGCACTTTGGGAGGCCGAGGCGGGTGGATCACGAGGTCGAGAGATCAAGACCATCCTGGTCAACATGGTGAAACCCCGTCTCTACTAAAAATACAAAAAATTAGCTGGGCATGGTGGCACGTGCCTGTAATCCCAGCTACTCAGGAGGCTGAGGCAGGAGAATTGCCTGAACCCAGGAGGCGGAGGTTGCGGTGAGCGGAGATCGCGCCATTGCACTCCAGCCTGGGCAACAAGAGCGAAACTCCGTCTCAAAAAAAAAAAAAAAAAAAGAATATGAGTAGACATACCACTTTTAAATATCATGACTACTTTAAAATCTGTGTGCTAATTCTTGGATTGGTTACAATTTACAGAAGAAAAAGGCAATATAAAAATTGTTTTAAATAAGTTTCAATGATACATTAACAAGGCTTAAAATGAGCCATGTTTAAGTGATTTTCAGAATGCTGTCAAGTTTTTTAGACACAGTGTTGCAAAATAAAGTTTTTCCTCGGATTTTTTTTTAGTCATACTCATTGTTAAAATGGGTGAATATTTTAAATATTCATCTAGATACTATGGGCTGATGTAGGTTTTTAAGATAGTTCTTTCTATCAGAATGCTTTTTATGAAACAGGATACAAAATGGAAGAACTCAAAAATTGTAATATATACTATTTTGGAGGATAAGGGAGATACTGTGATCACTAGTTGGAGAGAAGGGGGTTAACTTTATTCTGCTTTAACATTTTCATGTTGTTTGTTATATTCTCGTAGTACTTCTTATTAAACAGAAACTGTCAGATTTTCCTGCTGTGTTACGTACTTGGTTATTTGATTTTGGTATTTGTTAGAAATTTGGATGGTTGCTCACTAATGTTAATTAATATGGCTTTATTTGAAATAGTACTGGCTTGAAGGCATGTCCTTCCAGAGTGATTCTGTGATTGCTTTGCTAGGTGCTTCTAGAACATCTCAAGCCTTAAGTTGATTTTTGTGTTAAGTTTTCAACATCAGGACTTCTAGTCCGTCCGGGTAGGATAAATTCAAATTTGAATCAGATCCGACTGACATTGGCTGACAGATTATCGAGGAGCCTCTTTTCTTTCCCTGTTCCGGAAGCAGATCACGATGGATATGCTTCCCTGACGTTTGACTGGAGATGGTTTTCCTGCCTTAACCTTTGATGGATTGTGTGACTTTCCGTGGCTCTGCTTGTAGCTCCTTTGCGTCCTTTCCCCATGTGGCTGGTAAAGGCCAGTTCTCAGTACTGCCTACACGTTCCTCATGAGCCATACGGGTGGACTTCATTGGTTCTCAGCATTTTCTTCATTTGTAGCCCATGACTATTTTCTTTCTAGCTCATCTGTGCATTTCGGGTGTATATGACATTTTATTTAGCATTTCCGGGTGTTTGTGTATAAAGTGCCAGTTCTAATAATGTAGTATGCCAGATAGTATAACCCATTTTAGTAGGAAGTTGTTAGTCTGCCAAATGTAGCAAATTTCTTAATTCATGTTTGAATCGTACCTAAGGAGAATTAAAAATGAAGCTTATTTTGTAAGTTATTTGCCCACTTAGCTATAGATTGTTTGCATTTTGGATACACTAGATGTTAGAAATAAGTTTTAATGTTTTTCTAATCAGTGATGTTGATGCCTTAGCTATGAGACACATTCAGATGAGTTTAGTGGTAACTCTCATTAGGGGAGATTGATGTGTATGTTGGTCCTATTCTTTCAGCTAACATCTACAGAGCAATAACTAAAAAGTAAATTATTCTGTAGACGAATATACCACAAGCCCAGCCTTCTAGGAGCTCACATGATAGTGGTACTGGTTTGTCACTAATTGCAGCTGCTGTGAAATAAAACACGTTTAGCACCTAGTCTAAAACTCAGTCTCAATGCCTTATTCTAAGTACAGTGAAAAATACTCTGTCTTTTGACTCGGCAAACTTGAATCACAATCTGAAGATAGTTTCAGAAACAAATTAGACCTCAACAGTTATCAGCCTTTAAATGCTTTATCTAGTTTCTCTCACAAATTATGTGCCATTAGTGAGAAAGTGTGTAATAGTGATTTTTCATAATATGTAAATACTTGAAATTTATTGTTTTCTACAATTTGAGACCTAAAAATGATATACAGTATATCTAGTTTGACCCACACTTATTCCTGAACAAAAACACCGTTAGATAAAGTTTATTTTAGCCTTTTATCCCTGTCATGTGTACTTGCAGAGCAGGAAATACAACCAGGTCTCCTGATGATCAATTTAGTATTTGCACTGTGGAGATACCTAACAAACATTCAGATGAAGAAATTAAGTTTTTATGTAATTACAAGGAAATTGAACAGCCTGCTCCTGGATCACTTTTGGGAAAAGGATGAAATTAATGGTGTTTTTTTTTTTGTTTGTTTGTTTGTTTGTTTTTTTGTTTTTTTTGGTTTTTTTTTGAGTAAGGGTCTTTCTCGTCACCCAGGCTGGAGTGCCATGGTGCAGTCTTGGCTCTCTGCAACCTCTGCCTCCTGGGCTCAAGCAATCCTCCTGCCTCAGCCTCCTGAGTAGCTGGGGCTGCAGGTGTGTGCCACCACACCTGGACAACTTTTGTATTTTTTGTAGAGACTGGGCTTCGCCATGTTACCCAGCCTGGTCTCGAACTCCTGGGCCCAAGTGATCTGCCTTCCCTGACCTCCTGAAGTGCTGGGATTACAGGCATGGGCTACCATGCCCGGCCTCAAAAAAATGATTTGAAACAAATGAAATCAAAGATAGAATGTACTGGAATCTCTGGGACACAGCTAAAGCAGTACTGAAAGGAAAGTTCATAGTGCTAAATGCCTACATCACAAAGTTAGATCTCAAATTAACCACCTAACATCACACTTGGAGGAACTAGAAAAACAAGAGCAAACGAGCCCCTAAGCTAGCAGAAGAAAATAACCAATTTCAGAGCTGAACAAAATTGACATGTGAAAATCCATACAGAAGATCAGTAAACCAAAAGTTGGTTCTTTGAAAGAATAAATAAGATTAATAGACTGCTGGCTAGATTAATATATTGCTAGCTAGATCAATAGAGAAAATAAGAGAAAAGATCTAAATAAACACAGAAATGGCAAAGGGGCATTACCACTGACCCCACAGAAATACAAATAACCTTCAGAGACTATGAAACACACAAACCAGAATACCTAAAAGGATAAACTCGGAGAAACATACAACCTCTCAAGATTGAAATCCTTAACAGACTAATAATGAGTTCCAAATTTGAATCAGTAGTAAAAATAAGCTATCAACCAGAAGCCCCCTAACCCCAAACCAGACTGATTCACAGCCAAATTCTACCAGATGTATAAAGGAGAGCTGGTACCCATCCTACTGATATTGCTCCAAAAAATCAAGGAGGAGGGACTTCCCTAACTCATTTTATGAAGCCAGCGTCATTCTGATACCAAAGCCAGGCAGAGGGACAATAAAAAACAAACACAAAAAACTGCTGGCCAGCATCCCTGATGAGCATAGATGCAAAAATCAATAAAATACTAGAAAATCAAATCCAGCGGCACATCAAAAAGCTAAAACACTATGATCAAAAAGCTAAAGCACTATGATCAAATAGGCTTTATCCCTGGGATGCAAGATTCGTTCAACATACGTAAATCAGTAAACATGATTCATCCCATAAACAGAACTAAAAAATTACATGATCATCTCGGTAGGGGCAGAAAAGGATTTCAATAAATCCTAACATCTCTTCGTGTTAAAAACCTTCAACAAACTACCCATCAGAGTAACATACCTCAAAATAATGAGAGCCGTCTGTGATAGTCCCACAGCCAACATCATGCTCGACAGGCAAAAGCTGGAAGCATTCCCCTTGGGAACCAGAAGAAACCAAGGATGTCCCCTCTCCCCACCGCTGTTCAGCGTAGTGCTGAAATGGGAGAGGCTTCCTTGCCCCCCTTGCAGGGTGTGCAGTAGGGGCGTGCCTCGCTGCTTCAGTGCCCTGCTGCTCACACCTCTAGGGGAGCAGATAGATAGATGGGCAGACTGTGGGGCTCCGACCCCACAGCGGTGTCTTTTGGTGGGTGTTTACAACTGAAGCCCCAGTGGGCATGTATTGCAGGGTGCTCTTTTGATTTGCCCTGTAGGCGGCTTGAGTTAACCAGCTAGTGAGAACCCTCTACCTTATCACAAGGACAGAGGGATTTCTATATCCCAGGATTTCTTGCCTTGGTGTAGCAGAAGAATTGGATCACATGTGGGCTTGGAGAATGAGTGTAAGATTTTATTGAGTAGAAGTAGCTCT